AGATCATAGTGCCTGAAAGTCAACCGTTTCCAAGAATAGATGATCTGACTGTGCGTGCCAGGGGTTGCAAATATTTTTCCAAGTTGGATATCAATTCTGCCTTTTGGTCAATCCCAGTACGCACAAAGGATAGATATAAGTTGGCTTTTGTTACGCACCATGGGCACTGGCAATGGAATTGCTTACCATTTGGATTGAAGTCAGCACCAGCAATTTTTCAAAGAATTTTGGCAGGAATAATTAGAAAAAATAAGCTGAATCCATTTACCGTAAATTATATAGACGACATTCTTGTGTTTTCTAAGAATTACGAAGAGCATATAAATCACGTGGAATTGGTATTAAAAGCAATATCTGAACAGGGTTTTAAACTAAATAGAAAAAAATGCCAATTTGCTCAAGAAAAAATTATTTATTTAGGTCATGAAATTGGAGGTAATATGATTAGACCAATGAATAATAATGTGGAAGCTATTAAGAAGTTTCCCGTGCCTCAAACAAGGAAGCAGATAAGACAGTTTTTAGGTAAAGTGAATTTTTATCTAGAATTCATACCAAACCATGTTGTTTTGCTGGATCCTTTGAGGAACTTATTGAGAAAAGATGTTGATTTCTTTTGGTCGGAAGAGTGTAAAAAGAGTTTTCAATTGATAAGAGATTATCTGTGTTCGTTTCCCGCTTTGGCAATATTTGACCCGGAGGCTCCAATTTATATTTTTACCGATGCAAGTGTTGAGGGAGTGGGAGCAATTTTAAAACAGCCACAGGAAGATAAATCGATAAAATCAGTATTTTTCTTTTCGAGGAAATTGACCAAAACTCAGAAGATTAAAAGAGCAATATTTATTGAATGTTTAACCATTAAAGAGGCTATATTGTATTGGCAGTACCATTTAATTGGCAAAAAGTTTATTATCTTTTCTGATCACAGACCTTTAGAAAATTTTAATATTCAAAAAAGTACTGATGAAGAATTAATACAAATTTTAAATTACATTTCTCAGTTTGATTTTGAAATAGTATATAACCCGGGAAAGGATAATATTGAAGCTGATTGTTTGTCTAGAAATCCGGTAATGGAGGCTCATGAGGATTCAGAAGACGATTCGATGATTAAAACATCAAACTCATTAAAATTAGATAATATTAAAGAAAATCAGAGATTGTTGAACATAGATGATAAGTGTATAACTAAGAATAATATAATTTATAAAGTCTTAAATAATAAAGATAAGATTTGGTTAACTGAAGATTTTGGAAAAGTTCTAGTGAAAAATATTCATATAGATCAAGGACATATTGGTACAAAACAGTTAATCCTAACCTTTGGACAGAAATTTTATTTTAAAAACATGTATAAACACATAAAACATATTTGCAAATCTTGTGAAACTTGTATAAAAAATAAGTCTAGAATAGGTTGTTTTAAGGCACCTTTATCGCAGCTAGGTCCAGCAAAAAAACCTTTTGAAATTTTATCTCTGGATACAATAGGTGGCTTCAAAGGTAACAAGAAATATTTACATATAGCAGTAGATCACTTTACAAGATTCGCCTATATTTTGACCTCTAAAACTCAAACAGCTAAAGATTTTATAAATTTGATTAGTAAAGTTCAAAAAGACGGCAATATTCAAGTATTGTTAGCTGATCAATATCCTGGTATAAATTCAACTCACAAGTTCAAAAAATTCTTAAAACAAAAAAAAATAACTTTGATTTTTACAGCTGTAGATTGTACATTTTCCAACGGATTAAATGAAAGAGCTAATCAAACATTAGTAAACAGAATAAGGTGTAAAAAATATGAAAATGCAAATAGGTCTTGGCCAGTGATCGCAGAGGACTGTGTTAAAAATTATAACAATACCATTCATAGCTCAACTGGATTTCCACCCAGTTATTTATTAACAGGGTTTTATAAAAATATTTTGCCTGAAGCTATTAAGGACAATGATTTGACTAATTTGGATGAAAATAGAAAGATAGCTTTTGAAAAATCTAAAAAGATTCACAATCAAAATAAACAGTATTATGATAAAAATATCAAAAAAATAGATTATAAAATCGGAGATTTAGTTTATGTACAAAGTGGTAATAGGTTGAACAAAGAAAAATTGGATACAATAAGACTGGGGCCATTTAAAATTAAAGATAAGATTTCAGATGTGATATTTTTGTTAGATAGCAGATTTAGGAAGAATGAGTCAAATTTTTTTCATGCGAGTAAACTTGTTCCTTACTTGGACGGGTGATACCTACGTTCTCCCGAAGGGGGGATATAAGCTCAAGCGTAGCTGAGCTTAGCCTTACTGTCGGTAGCTCGGATAAGAGGCAGTTTGTGTTTAGATTCCGAGTTGTAAATCTCGTATGATTTGTTGTGATCGTAGTTTTGCAGAGAAGGTTTTGCTATTGACAATTATATTGATTCAGGTTAGCGTTAAGTGTATTGTATAACTGTAATATTATATTTAGCTTTGCTATCATGTACATATTGTTTTTATATTACAGTTGTTTTACTGCATCTTATTTGTTTGGCTTTAAACCTAAAAATCCCAATCTCAGATTTTAAGCTATAAATTGTGGCTTACATATATATATATATACAGGGTGTCCAAAAAGTCTGCAAACACCCAAATAACTTTCCAGGTCATTTATTTTTAAAATATATCAAGGCCACTTTTGAAGTAATTTTCAAGAATGAATTCAATTTACTTCGAATTGGATTTAACCTTGAAGATGATCTTGACGGATTTTTCAAGGTTAGGTCAATTTTTCAAAATGAAAAGCATTTTTTTCACATCAGTAATCCAAAGAGTGGGAAATTTTACGTTCAAAATAATTGAGGTCAAAAATTTTCCGTTGACTTTGAAGGTCATTCACAGGTCATTCAATTCTGAGACCTTTCAGAATAACTCGATTGATAGAAATAGACCAAAGCTTGCTTTAATTGTTTTGTTTGATCGCAATTAGCGATGACTTCAAACTCGATCTTGCTTGTATCCTGCAAGATAATTTCAAGGTCAAAGTTTTTTTTTCTGATGTCCTCCTCATCTGATATTGGCAATTGATAGAGCAGAAGTTCCCATACTTTTACTTTCAGCGTTACCCAGGAACAACGGCATTGACGTAGTCATTTCTGTTCCCTTTGGAGTACTTTATTATCGTGAGTCCTCTTGCCTCTTACGTGATTCAATAAATATTTTCTGACTGTATTTATAACAGATGCTTGAACTGCTCTCTATTTACTTCTTGACAGTATCCTAACCGACGGTAAAAAGCATCAACAGCATTCCTGATGATTTCAGCGGGAATAAGAGCTGATTCATCAACGATCCTTTGTCATATTTCATTCAAATTTTGGAGTTTTGTTTTGTATACTCGATCTTTCAAATTACCCAATATATGTAGTCAATAGGCGTCAAATTAGGTGACCTAGCTGGATAAATAGTGCAAGTCAGTAAGCGTGAATAGTTCGTGCATAATGAGCTGCTGCGTCATCCTGTCGATATTATGTGTCATTGAAGTTTTGTCCAGTTATTCCTCTTATTGCAGGAAATATTTGATTCCGCAGCATGGCTTCATAGTTTTGGGCATTCGAGTTACCGTCAATAAGAAATGGTCCTATAATTCGATTATTTATTATTCTAGTTCAAACATTTTAATTTTGTGGATATACAGATTTGGCTTTTCTTGCCCAATGAGGATTTTCAAATGCCCAGTATCTACAATTCTGCCTATTCAATCTTGCGTTAAGTCGAAATGTAGTTTCATCTGAAAATATTATAATAAATAAAAAGTTAGGATTTTGAACTATGGAAGACATCATATCATCACAAAATTCAACGCGACAATCGAAATCATCTTTGTTTAGCTTGTGTATCAGTGGTACTTCGAATGGATGAAAATTCGCTTTCTGTAGTATGTTAGGAACAGATAATTTACTCATTACATGCTCTTGAGCAACTCTACGAATGGAAGTATGTGCATCAGTAGTGAATGTTAACAAAACATCTAATGATTTCTCTTCATCAATTACTGACCTTGGTCTGCTTAATCTAGGTAGATCACTAATAGTGCCGATATTTTCAAATCTTCTAACAGTTTTTTGAACTGTTGAAAAATAAAAAATTAGAGTTCTATCAGTTCTAAATGTTGCATTAAAAAGATTTCTCAGCGCCCTATAAGATCGCTGCATTGGACCCCAACCTCTCATCATAAGAGGCATTATTCTTTCTGTATCAGTTAGTTTGTCCATTGCACTATTCTTTGCAGTAGTCCGTATCCACAAGCTTATCAGAATATAAAAATTCAATAACAAGTAAAATATTATTTTGAATTGTAAGCTCTTGCGCTGAAAATTTTTTTGACGAGTATACCAGAGCAGCTTGAAAGGGTAATAACTAGTAGTTGTTCCTAGGTAACGCATGATATAAAAGTATGGGAACTTTTGCTCTTTCAATTGTCGATATCAAATGAGGTGGACATCAAAAAAAAAACTAACCTTGAAATAACATTGCAAGATACCACCAAGGTCAAGTTTGAGGTCATCGTTAATTGCGATAAAAAAAAAACAACGAAAGTAAATTTTGGTTTATTTCCATCAATCCAGTTCTTTTCAAAGGCCTCTGAATTGAATGACCTTTGAATGACCAAGGTCAACGGGAAATTTTTGACATTAACGGTTTTGAAAGTAAAATTTCCCGCTTTTTTAATTACTGGTTGTCAAAAAAGGCTCTTTTCATTTAAAAAAATTGACGTGATCTTGAAAAACCGTCAAAATCATCTTCAAGGTTAAATCCAATTCGAAGTTAATTGAATTTCTTCTTGAAAATTACTTCAAAATTGGCCTTGATATATTTTAAAAATAAATCACCTGGAAAGTTATTTGGGTGTTTCCAGACTTTCTGAACACCCTGTATAATATTTTTCAATGAAAAATTGAATGTAGAATTTATCCTATTTTTGATAGAAATTATAATCATTCTTATACTTTCCAGAAGAGATTCTTCATAGCTCCGAAGCTTTCTGGATGGCAAAAGATTCACATATACTTTTGTACGCTAGCTTCAATGATTCTTTGGTTAATGAAATGCTTCTACCTTGGTATGGAGATGGAAATAAACAAACGTATACAAATATTAGATCACTACGGTATCCGAAGGTAATGATTTATATCTATAAGTTTTAGTGATAAATAATATCATTATATGTATTACTTTTCTTTTCTCGGAAAAGAAATTTCAGAATGATAAGGAATTTTGATTATATTTTTAATCTTGTTTTATGTTTGCGTGTCTATTTATCTCAATATATTTTTTAACAACAATGCCAAGATATATTTAAAAAATATGCATACTCGTACATATCTTTTATGTAGTTATTTTTTGTTCTTTTGATAAATTTGAAATCATGTATGCTAACGTATTGTCAGTAAAAGAAACTAACAATCTAGAAATAAAAAATACAATTTAATAATTTACGAAAGTTAGGAAGTCATTTTCACCAGTGGAAATGGAAATCAGTGAATGATCAAATGAGAAATGCGGCAGTCTAAGTGATAACGAAGAAGATGAATATTTACCGGGCATTATCAAGAATAATACCCCAGAAACTTTCGATCAAAAGGAGTTGAATGATCACATAAGAGATTTGCTATTACGGAAAGATGGAGCTGATTTATCTACAGTATTGAAAAAGAAAAACTTGTTGTCCAAGAAGACAAAAGATTATGTTTATCGGAACAGGAAACAGAAATTCCGTAAGCTCTTTGCCCAAGATACAGAAAACTCGATGATATTTTGTACTAATGTGAGATGGCTAATAAATGGAATAAAATGTAATATTTATAAAGATGAAGAGTGGAGAATATTAATTACGTATTATCGACTCTTTTGAGCGGAGTCTAAAAGCAATATTTTTCATACAGGAACTTGTTTGCACTTATCCCGATAGTTCATTGAACAAAGTTAAAGAAAACGTACGATAATTCAGAAATAGTATTAGAGAAAATAAATTACACGAAACACTAATTTGAAGTATATGGTGATCTTAATATTTCAACTATCATTCTGAGGTAACAGTCAGATTTTCCAAATATCCACGTTTCTTGTGTTTGTAGAATAGTAGAGATAGAAAAAATTACTTCGTACAATAAGAGTAGTCAAGTTGTATAGTTTTCAACCCAGGGGTAAAAAATATCTTCCGCTAACCTTTAATTATATCTTTCAAACATTTTGCGGAAATGTTTTTAATACTTAAAAGAGAAGTTTCTACATATAAGTGATCTCAAACAAAAAGAAGATCTTTTCGATGGTCCTCAAATCCGCACTCTATTCAGAGATGAAGAATTTGTTATAAAAATGATTCCTGCAGAGTTAGCTGTATGGTCAAATTTTAAAAAATCCATCACCACTGGACTTGACCACCCGCTGGTTGCTGGTTCAATGACGTCGTTGTCCAGCATGGCCTTGACCAGCGCGTGCATTTCGTCTCGCACCCTATCTGAGACCGGGTAGTATTTCTGTTTACAGGGTCGAGCGTCTCCGATGTCTATCTCATGCTCGACCCCCACAGCACAGCCTAAACACTCGCCTCCGTCTGGAATTAATCCATCGACGAGGCTAGCCACTTCTTGACGCTGTGCTTCCGTGGCTTCTACCAGGCCTACGGGTGCGAGGCACGACGTACCAGTGACGCTTGCCACTTCCAACGGTACCACCACTTTGGCTTTCGCCAAGTACAGCTGGTCCGTGTCAGGGTTCAGGTTGGCGCTGAATTCCCTCACGAAATTCGCGCCGACGTAGCAGTCATCAGACAGCAGTGGCGTTATAGCGACCCTTACCTCTTTTGTGATTCCCCCTACTGTGAAGGGGAAAATCACATGACCCAAGATAGAATATGGGCGACCGTCAGCGAGCTTCGCTTCTCCCGCTCGCGTGACGTCCAGGCCCAGCCCCATGTCTGATGCCAACCTAAGCCCGAGTTGACCCATTACCGTTGATGAGGCCCCGGTGTCGTAGAGTGCCCTTAACTTGTAGGCACCTATCCCCACCTGAAGCCACCATCGGGTCTCATCCTCGGGTCTATACCTGCGGGGAGCTTTCGCCGTCTCTCTCCCCTCTGTGGACGGGAGGCTTTCACGGCTCTTCTTGCCCTGGGCAGCCGCTACTCGCATCGACGTGCTCTCACCCGCAGGTGTCTGGGTCGCCGGTGTATCCTCCGGAGTGTCAGGTGGTCTCCTGGAGCTTTTGGGTCTGATGGTCTCCTCTCCGACCCATTCAAACCCCTGCTCCACCACCTGAATCCGGCCTCCGTACCCTTCGAGGATACAAAATGCCCGGTTACCCCGATCAGGCATCTGTTCGGTCGCTGTCGCCTCCAACTCCACCGCACTGCCAGGTCTCGTAGGGTCCGATATCCCTGGCGAGACCTTCCTGAACCCTGGGGTCGCTGGCGAGCCCCTGCCCCGTTCCAGCGACCCGCGACGAGAGGTCACCTTTACTGGGGACGCGGAGGGGACCTCCGTCCTCCGCTTCCCTGCCCGTTTCCCTTGTTGCAATCCGGGCAGTACCTTCTGGTAAAGCCTAGTTTGCCACAAGACGAGCACTTGATCGGTTGGGAGTAATCTATTTTCCTCCGCTGACCCTCTCGTCGCTGGCCAGGAGACCCTGGGGGGGTTTTAGTCCTCCCCTTTTCTTGCGGCCGACCCCTCGGCCGCCTAGGAGAGTTAGCCTTCCTCTCCTTAAAGTACCGGTCCATATCGCGCCGCAGGGTCGCGATCTGCGACGACAGATCCTCAATGGGGTCTGTCGCCTGCGTTGCAGCGATTGTGGGCCGGTCCGCGGGTCTCTTGGCCGGGGTTTTAACCGGCGACTCGGGTTGTCGCTGATCCCTACCCCGAGGCTTGTTGGACATGGCCGCCGTACGGGGTCCTGCCCGGGGCGGTGGTGCCTTAGCTGACACCCCCATGTGCTCGGGGTACAACGTGGACGTTGGCTCCAACCTGGTCCTCGGGCGCTCGTCGTCCCGCAAAGCGGTCTCGATTTCGGTCGCCCGGGCGTGGAATTCGTCCACGTTGGAGAACGCATTCCTCCGCAGCTGCATCCGGATGGCGGGTAGGAGATTTGCATACAGCAAATCTAGCTGCCTCTGCTCTGGTAACGGCGGACGTAGCTGGGCTAACATGAAGAGGAGGTGGCAGGCATATTCTCGTACCAGCTCTCCTTTCTTCTGGTACCGGGCTTGGGCCTCTTGCAGCAACCTTTGTTGCTGAAGCTCACTCGACCCAAACCAACGTCGAGCGCCTGCCACGAAGTCGGCGTAATTCCTCCACTTAAGCTTGTTAAGCTCGTACCAGGTCCTCGCAACGCCTTCGAGGAGCTCTGATACCGAGCACAAGATTTCGCCGTCTGTTAGCCCAGAACCCGCGCGTAGATCTTCTAGTCTCGACAAGAAGGTGTCTACGCACTCTGAAGCCGTGCCAGAGTATCGCAGCTTCCACCCTCTCACAATCCTACCCGCGTCCCGAGTCGCGTAGTACCCCGACGCCGCATTGGCGTCGTACCAGGCGGATCCTTCAGGGGTCGCCGCCCCTTCATCCATATCGGCGTCTCTTGGTCCTCTTCTCGGTGGCTGTTCCGTCCTTGAAGGCACCTGCCTTTGGAGAGCCTCTCGAGGTTCGCCAGGGGTCGATCGCTGGGGTTCCGGGGTACTACCTGGTACCCTTGGGTCGTAGTGGCACGTATACGTGGATTGGAAATCTACGGTCCTCCGGGGCCGCTCTGGTACGACCGTCCGTCGATTGGTGGGGTCCCTGTTTCTCAACTGCTGGACCTCCACCTGCAGAGCGGTCACCTGGTCGCTCCACCGCGCGCATACCTGGTCGTGCCTTTCCAGCATCTCAAGTATGCGGTTGATCCCGACACGGTTGCGCTCGATCTCTTCTTTTAATCGTTCCGTCACGCACCGTTCCTCTTCTTCTTCTTGAGGTTGTAGCTCCTCGTTTTCGAAGCGTCGAGCTCTTCGCCTATCCGGCGATCCGGTGGAGCCCTTGTGCTCACTACCGACCCCCTCCGTGGGCCCCTTGACCTCGCCGGTCCCCCCTTCCTCTGCGGGCTCTCGCTCCCCCGTCTCGCTCTGACTCTCCTCTTCAAGGTTGTCATAGACTGCGAGAGTCCGCGTCAGGTTGGCCTCCACCACCTCATCCCTGTATAACAGCATGAGTGGGTGGGCGACAAGATCCTCCGCATCAGCTGCTTATAACTCTTGTCGCCTGGACTCCAGCCACCTCTCTCGACTCCGTCGCCTGCGTTGTGTGGCCTCCCTATCTAACGCCGCTCCTTGGAAGTCTAGGTCGATATACTCGCCTAGCAACCAATATGCTAATCGAACTGCCTGCATCAGCTTAGGACCATCTGTTCGCAACTCCAGTTGCGTCAGGTACCTGTCCAGCTGTGTCGAAGGCAGTTCCGAAGCCCACCGGGTTATCGCGTCGGCGGTATCCTCCATGACGCTTATGCTGGGGCGTAGGTGACGGTTGAGGTTAGTTTCCCTATTTGACCACTACCGCCTCCTATCTCCCAAGGCGCGAGCGGGGTGTTACGATTTTTATCGCCAACTACCCAATTACGCCTTTATTTACAAGGCAACAATACGCGTGGCTTGTGGGTGTGTGCAGGTATCGCGTACTCTAAGGAAGTATGAACTTTCGCTTCGCAACTACCTGCCTATAGGTGGAGGCTAACTGTTTGTTAGCTCCACCGGTTTAGTTAATCTAACCCTACACACACCCCAATTGCGCGCTCTGCTGGTACTGTCGCTCGGTGACTAACCCCCACTTAATTACTTTAATGTGTAATAAAACACCTAAAAAGCAAAAAGTTAACCCAAATACAATTAGTCACCTTTTATATTCGCGTTACAGCGACTACGGACGTCTCTTCGACCCCTGGGGTTAGTGTGCTCTCGGCTCACAAAAGCAGTTGTTATTGGGTCGGAGAGGCGTCTTTCCCCTACCGCAGAGCACGTACCGAACGAGCCACGCGTTACTTTACCCGCTCGCACCTTATTACGCACGCGCGCAAACGTCTCTCTCTCGCGCGCGTTGCTCTCTCTTTTCGTGCAATTTCCCTCGTGTGTGAGTCCTAATTTAGTTGGGCGCCA